GCCGCGAAAGCCGTACCGCCGCCGCCGCCGCCGCCGACGCCGCCGCCGCGCGTGTTACGCTACGCTACTCTACTCTCTCAAAAACAACGCTGCAATGCAACAAAACCGACGTATGTTACAACGTTAGACGAACGCGACGTGTAATTAGATACGCATTCCATGACGCGCTCGCTAATATCGTCGATAGGATCTACAAGATTGGCAAAATTCTTTTTGATAAATGTCGCGACATTTTATATCTTCGAATTAATTGAATCTACTATCTCTTAATTGAAATTAAATAATACGAGATTAAAGATTTATCCTATCACGTGCATATGTATATTTCCCAATATTTATCCTAATTTATCTTCACGATATAAGTATGACAAATTTTTATTATCATTCGTCTTCTATAATTTTAGTTCACTTTCAAATCATATATTTACATATGTGGGTGTGTGTGTGTGTGTGTGTGTGTGTATTACTTTAATCTTATTTTATATATTAATTAACAATTAATTTTTATCACGTCGGTAGGTTAATGTTTACTAAGTTTAATTTATGTTTTATATAATGCAATTATAGTGTTTAATATAAATTATATCATTTCATCTATCGAAAAAAAATTGTTTTATAAGGGATTAAAAGTATTGGTTTATAAATAATATCGGTTTATAAATAATTTCAATATTGTATGTATAAATAACATTTTTATATATTTCATAGTGATGTATATTATTTTATAAATTGAAGGTTTTTTTTTTGATACATCTATATTCGCATATTACAAAATTTATGATTTAAAAAAACATCATAAAAATAAGTTTTATGTATAATATGCAAATGCAGAGATGCATAGATAAAAAAGAATATTTTTTTTTTTCCTTAACTTACGGCACAAAAAATAAATTAGAAAAAAAAGTACTTATTTTTACGATATTTTTTTATCAAAAATTATGCAATATACAAATAAAAAAATATATATGAATTATTATCGTTAATTTGTTTATTTAGATATTTATATAAAATATTGAAAATTCTAACACTATACTTTATTAATTATGGTGTACAATCTAATATTTGAGATTGACACAGATAGAATTAAAATATCATATTGTTTGTCGAGTTATTTAAATGAAATAGTAAATCAATTCGATAAAAATAATTGAAATATTTCGAACAAAAGCATAATTCTATTATCATTAAAAAAGATTTTGAAAAAGAAATGAGATTTTGAAAATTAAATCCTAAAGTAATAAGATATAAAATAATTTATTCGCTGTGTTCTAAAGGTATATTTGAAGCCAACTAGCACGAGAGAAGCTGTAAGAGCGAACAAAGCACGAGTTGTCGTTTGGATTCCCGCCGTCCTTGCATCTCGAAGCACGCGCACGAGGAGGAGAAAAGGTACGGAACGAGGTCGTGAGAGGGCCAAGGAAAAAGAAAGCTTTCCCGCCCAGCAAAATTCGAAATATTTTTTACTCGATCAAATAAATCCTTTGCAATCTTTATTTTCTATCAAAACTTTTAATTTATTTTTAATAAATTGATTTCATCGAATATATCATGTAACGATAATTAATTTATACCAACCAAGATTTCTAATTAATTAAAATAAACTTAATGGAATATATTTTGTTAGAATAAATTTAAAATGGTGCCACTTTTGGATTTTTTTTTTCTTTCTTTTCTTTTTTCGTTATTTAGAATCAATAGTCTCCGAAAAAAATGCATTTTGATGTTTCAAATTGAAAACAACTATTATTTTATTAAATATTCGAAATATCTATTGCCAATCTTCCCATGCAATAATAAGATCTTTGATCGGACTTACATTGAATATTTTACAGTAAGCTTAATGTAATCTGATGACATTCTTCAACTATACTCTGCTAAAGTTCTTTTAAAGCCGGTTAAATGGCATATACTCTGGATTATAAATATCCAGACAGATAAAAAAAAAAAGAAAAAATAGCAAATCAAATTAATAGATAAATTTAGCTTTCAAATAAGTCAAAGTACAGCTTTCCAGTCAAATTATAATATTCAATAAAAAGAATATAGATAATTTTGTTATAATACCAATTCACACACATACATTCATCGAGAAATGCACTATGTACTGCAAAATGTTTGATGTAAACTGATGAGCAATGATTTTTTTAATGCATGGATTTCGACGATACACATTTTGAATATTTAATAAAAGTTTTCTTTTTTCAACCTGAAATTGCATTTTCTCGGAAAGTATTGACTTAAAATAAAAAAAAAAAAATAAAAATAAAAATATATTATATCATAAGAACTCATCGAAAACAAAATTGATCTGTCCTGGTGATATTTTCAAAACAATCATTAAATTTCATAATAATCCTGGTCGGACAGTTTTAGAACTCATTAGAAGTTAAATATTAATTAAATAATAAATTAGTCGATCCAATGATCATCCATTAACTGTAAACGCTTAATATACAGATATAATTACGCGTATGAATGTTCACATCAAACATATATTTTAATTAATTTAAATATGCATATAATTATACTATACCTACTAATAATAATCATAATTATCGAGAACAAATTACCCTTAAAATGGAAATAAGACATGTATGATTTGAAAATAAGAAGGAAAAAAAAGAAATTGATTAATAATATAATCTAAAAAGTATCAATAATCGGTTGATCAAGTATCAATGAAAAGTATCAATAATGATTGATGATTGAAAATAATATGATTTTAATTTTTTAATCGATTACTAATGATCGACTTTCTATTCAAATACCTCTTTTTTTTTCTTTTTTTTTTTATTTACTTTTCTTTAGATTTATGTTTCTCTTCGAAATGTTTTCGATGGCAATGTATATATATATATATTTATACACACACACAGAAAATATGTCTCTGTGTATACGCAGGTACGATATAAGCGTAGATTGTCACCGTTACACGTGGATCTCGGCAATGCTCAAAGCTACGAAGAAGTAGTAGTCGTGAGACAAGAAAGGTGCACTTTTCTTTTATTTCTGTCTGGCAAGAGCCGAAGGAAAATGGGTCGAGGCGCTCGAGACGCGACGCGCTCTTCTCTTCCTCCTACTCTTCTCTCCCGAGCTCGCTTCGAGAAACGACCGCCGCGGCCGTTTCGTTTCGCTCCCTCGGAAATCGGAGCTCCCGTCAAAGGTCTCTCTTCCACATATATATATATACGCGTAGATAGAAAAGGGAGACGCCAAAAGAAAGAAAGAAAGAAAGAAAGAAAGAAAGAAAGAAAGAAAAAAAGAAAGAAAGAAAAAAAGAAAGAAAGAAAGAAACAAACAAACAAACAAAGAAAATAAAAAAATAAAAAATAATAAGAAATAAATTATTCCAAAAAAGAATTAACAAAATGAAATGTTTCCAATAAAAAAGAAATTAAATAATTATATAACAAAATAATAAAAATTGTAATAGGAATATCTACGTGTATGTATATATATATATATATATATATATATATATAGCTATACGTAAATTCTCATATAAAATGATATTTAAACAATCCTAGGTTTCGATATAATGTTGGCTAGAAATTTTTAGATTTTTAGATTTTCATTCCTTTATCATTTTATATATTTTTTTGAAATACATATGTGGTTTTTTTCCTCTTTTCTTTTTTTTTTTTCTTTTTTTTTCTTTAACTACTTGAATTTTTGACAAAAATATATTCCTGTTTGTCACGTCAATGTTATTTATATAACTTAAAAAGAGAACAAAAGAAAAAATGAAACAATGTAAAAAAAAAAAACAAATTTGGAAGCTAATATCGTCTTTTTTCTCTTTTTTTTTCCCTCCATTAAATCCGAATATTCACAAAACACAATTTATATAAAGCGACATTTTTACGGAACGAAATATCCCTGTTTTACGAGGATTATCCATATGTATATAATAATATCATCGCATACTTCTTTTTTTTTTCTTTTTCTTTTTCTTTCTTTTTTTTTTTTTATTTCTAACCATGTTCAACCTTAAATTTAACCTTAACTATAACCTGCATAGATATTTACCGAATAACTGTGACTGTATAGATATTCAACGAAGAATTGTATTGTCTCTATGATGAATAATGTATTATGAATTTAACATAACGTAACATTATCTCTATTTTATTCTATGATTTTATCTCCCATTTACCATTACACAGCAAAATATTTTTTGACGATAAAATATTTATTATATGTTAAAGAAATTCAGTTCTTTCGATTTTTGTATCATTTTAAAAGAAATCGCTTAGGTAGCGTCCTCGATAATGCAACGTATGTATAGCGTTAAATATGTGAGAACATAATTTCGAATTTAAGTTAGAAAGGATAAAGGTTAGACAGAATAATCGAAGAAAAGAAAAGGACAGAGTTTAGAGCAGGTGCAGGTTGAGAGTAAGATAGAAAAAAAGAAAAAAAGATCTGGAATAATATTTAATGGCGATAAAATATAACAAAAATAATCAAAAGCAACAGAATAAATATATTATCGACGAACTAAAGCAAACGATATAAAATGGCAGATATTAGATAAAAAAGATTTATTTTTAACACATATAAAGAAAGAGAGAGAGAGAGAGAGAGAGAGAGAGAGAGAGAAATCGAAGAAAAAAATGAACAAAAAAATAATACAGTAGAAATATAAATTAAAATAAATTCAAAATTCAAGTATTAGTAATAAATATGTATGCACACATAAATATGAATAAGAAATCTGTTGTATTGTTTTTCGTTAACTCTCTATAAAACAATTTTTTCAATCTATCTATACAAAAATAATATAAAATGAAACTTATAAATAATCTTTTATAATATTAATATAATTATAATATAATAATTATAACTTATAGTTAGTTATAAGTAATAACTTTAGGTATATTAATCTGTGATATTTTCGTGACAAAAAATAGAATAAAGCGTTAAAAAATATAAATACACACACACACACACATACGATTGTATATAACTTAAAAATTATACGAGTTAAATATGAAAAT